ATCTTGGAAAAGAAGAAGAAAGTTGAAGGACTCACAATCCTATTTTAAAAACTTACTATAAAGCTGTAGAAGTCAAGACAGCTTGGTGCTGGTGTAAGGACAAACACAGATAAATGGAATCAAATTGAAAATCCATAAATAAACCTCCAAGAAAAGGGAGAGAGAAAAATACATAGAGCAAAATCCAAATTTCTATCTTGAGATAAATGCTTCAATATATCATCTGTCTATCCTGCTATCATATTTGTTTTCATGATTCCCTATGAAATCATTTTGGAATAAATATAATCAATTGGAATAAATATTTTCTGATTGAAGTTTGGCAATTGAATCTTTTGTCACCGCAGAGAAAAGAGTCACTATTTCTCTTTTTCACTCCACTACATTATTCCCTATCCACCTCCCTCGCCCCCAGCCCTGTGGCCAACCACCTGGTGAACTCTCTGGAAAGGGTAAACATTAGCTGATTTAAATACACACTGAGGTATAAACTATTCATATCCCAAATTTTCCTGAGGCTCAAAGGTCCTTGGAGGGTTAGTGAGCCAGAGTATTCCAAAAGCATTTCTGTGACCTCTGAATCCAGACCCAGCCAAGTTACCATGTCACCTAGGATTAGGATTCAGAGCAAGGCAGCTGACTTGGTAAGAGAAACTGCCTAAGCTCCAGTAATAAAACTATGGTTTGGTTGTTAGAGTTGCTATAAAGTAGCAGTTGTTTTAAAAATTGTGTTAAACTAGGAGAGTTGAGAGGATTCAGTTAAGATTTAGGAAGATGTGAGGAACATCCAGAGGCACCAAATTTGAGAGAGTATGATAAGGAAAAATATTCTTTTTTTCAGAAATTTTAAGTAGGAATGAGGCAGATTGCTGCTGTTTCAGAAGGGACGGGGAGGGGACTGAATGAAACCAATAATTAATCTTATAATATATGAGGCTGAAGGCAATTAAAGTAAAATGAATACTAGTGACTTGAGTTTGTTTTGGAATAGAGAACCTATTTAATAATGAGGCAACTGCCCAGACTGAAAAGAAATGTTTGGGGAGGGATGAAGAAAAGTTTATAAAGGCCAAATTTATTGAGCTCTTAAAATATGATCATGTTGGAGTGAATTTCAGAAGTTGTGATTATTAAAACTACTTACTACTTCATTTCTATCCTGCCAAACCCTGCCAGTGAAAGAACACACAACTCACACTATGGCAATGGAATTTAGAGAATCCACAAAACTTCATCAATTGTCACAAAAACACACTGAAACTAACAAAAATCTGTTTCGCCTACCTTTCAAATGTTAGTTTCATTTTGAAGAGTCTATAAACCATATATAGAGTTGTAATGAAAAGAAAAACTAGCCCAGGAACTTTTTCAAATGTTCTGAAGGTATTATGATGTTCGTCTCCAATACAGCTGTATTTTCAGCTGTGCCCCTCCCTCCCCATCCCAGTAGGCAGGCAAATTCAGATGACATGTGCTATGGAACTAGAAAATCTCAACGAAATCATAATTTAAACATCTAATTATGATTCTTAAAGAAAACTCAAATATATAAGCTTTTTCCTCTAAATTAAAAACTACAAGCAGATGAATTTTAGGTTTTGGATATCAATGTTAAATAGAATATACGAGATTGCTCATAAGAGATGGGGTGAGAGGGACAGGTGGCACAGGGAGGCAGCACCACTGGAAATACACTGATAAACAAAAGATTAAATAGAAGGAAATTGTCTACACATTTTTACAGGAGAAGGTTAATCTAAAACGACACCAGTCCCAAAAAGGTTAGCTGTCACATTCAACAGCAGGGGCATATAGTGGTCACTGGCTACCGAAAGGAAGAAGTGGGTAAATTTCTCCAGGTCACATACTTTCCAGAAGGATGAGCTCTTCGGTGTCTTTGGCTGGCCTGTGTTATGAAGGCGTCCCATTCTATGGAAGGTTTTGTTAACCTAGCTAGAAGCAGGTCCTGATTGGTCATGGGAGAATCCGGACTAAATGGTATACATTTCTGATGATGTAAAAGTAAATTAGAGAACAGGGCAAGTTATTACACCAGAGAACGGAGGGCAATGGGGAATAATAAAAATCAGGCTACTCTAATTTCCTTTGAACAACTAAATATATACAGGTCATTATTTCCTGTAATCCGCAGGCCTCCCAGTGCAAGTCCTGGCCCTGTGTTAAAGCCTCTGAGACAAAAACAACAAAATGCAGTGTGGAGAGAAATGAAAAACACTGTAATGCTATTTAAAGAATGGATTAAGTACAGTTTTCAGTTGCCAGCTTTCTTCTCATCTTGGAATGTTAAATTAGGGAAGCAGGAGGGAAATTCACCTTGTTTGAAAAATTCAGATGTCTCCCTACCAGCAGTTTCCATTCATATTTTCTGTAGTCTGTTCCTGTACATGGCTGGGGCAGCTGGGCTGCATTCTAACTTCTGTTTGCCAAAGCAGAATCATAAAGGGAATAGCAGTTTCTCCTTGAATGGGGTTTAGGCTATACTCAACATTATTTCTCTGGAGATTGATCTGAGTCCTTCATTTCAAGTCTGGGCCAAAAGTGGTCCCTTTTCCCAGATGGACACTATACCAGTTGCATAGGAGTGCGGAAGTCTCTTTTCCAGCCTTAGGTAGGTCTGTGCATCCTCCCTAATACAGGAGGGCTTGTAGGCAAACAAAAGCAGCTACTTACAGGCCCAGGGTATTTTGTGTGTTGGCAAGAGAATAGTTGAGAAACAATGAAGACTTTTTCCAGTGCTTTTGGCTCCATGGACCCCTGACGTCCAAATCACCTGATGTGCTTATTGTACATACTGATTCTTGGGCATCTAATCAATTTTGCTAAAGGATGGAACCCAGGAACTCTTTCAAATGGTCCCATTGATTCTTACAAACACTAAAGTTTGGAAATCACCGCTAGCCATTCTTTACCTTTTCACCAAACTTATCGAAAGGAACTGCTAGGGATGTTTTTGTTATCATATTTGTATCTGGAGACAGCTAGAACTAAATTCACTATGACTGTGCCCAGTTTCTTCTCTAGGCACTGTCATACTATGTTGAATAAGACTTCTTCCAATGGTATTAAATTCTTGTACTACTCAGCTTGTGACAGTCCTACTGCATTTCACGTGTCCTTATTGTTTCACCCACGGGACCATGCATAATCTATGAAGATTTGATCACATGGGGACTCTTAGCTCCCAGGCAGCTAGATGGGGACAGAGGATCTGAGTGATGGCAGAGAGTTCTTACTCTGGGAGGCTGGCCTGGAAACACCAAAGTCTCACCTGTTCCCAGCAAATCTATCCAGAAAGACTGGAGACTGTCCAGAGATGGCAAAGGTTGAGTTGAGACCCTGAAAGCTGGCAGTGTTGATCTGGGAGTTCAGCTTAAGGGATGGGGGCAGTAATAAAACAGAAAGGGGGCAGTTAGTTTGGTTAGGAAAATAACAGGATACAGCCATCTAATGTATTTCTAAACATGACTTTCTTCACTATCCAATATTTAGATAAATACAGAAGACGTCCCTTTTACCTGGGATAGTTCTCCTCAAGCTTCTTGTCCCAGTGCAATCATTAATTGCTTATGTGTTCCGTTTGGCTAAAAATGGTATGCAGATCCAGTAATATCTTGTCCTCCCGTTACCTTTGCTGGTCCTAAAAAGAGACCACATATCCAAGTTCTATAATTAAAAGATTAGTAAGCCCCTTTAAGGCTTTATCATTGCTTAGCCTTAGAACGAGTTTTAATAAGGTGAGAGAAATAACAGGTTCCATTGGCACTAGACATGGAGTGAGGGAGGAATGACAGCCAAGAGAATGGTGTAGGATACAAAGATTGAGGGCAGGTTTATGTCAGGCCATGTCTGGTGCTACAGAAAACCCTGTTACTTCTGATACTTTTTTTTTCTTTAAAAGAGAAGTTCTAGGGGCGCCTGGGTGGCTTGGTCAGTTAAGCATCCGACTTCGGCTCAGGTCATGATCTCACGGTCCGTGAGTTCAAGCCCTGCGTCGGGCTCTGTGCTGACAGCTCAGAGCCTGGAGCCTGCTTTGGATTCTGTGTCTCCCTCTCTCTCTGCCCCTCCCCTGTTCATGCTCTGTCTCTCTCTGTCTCAAAAATAAATAAACGTTAAAAAAATTTTTTTAAATAAAAAATAAAAAATAAAAGAGAAGTTCTATTTGTAATTCAGAGCATACAAAATATTTAAACATTATCTTTTTATCAAACCATTGAATACACTTATTTTTATAACTTTTCTCGACTGTTAAGTAATAATCTTGAATATTAAATACTAACATATTTGAAAATTACACCTTTACTCTGATTTGCCTAGATCTAATATTGCCAGCAAGCTTTTCCAGCTATTTTCCCCCAATCATCTTTGGTAATACTTTAAATATTACTATGACATATTAGAAAAAAAAAATCCCTACCTTTCCAGGAAATGCTGCTATTGTAGAATCATAGAAGATTGGACACCTCAGAGTGCCTGGGGGGCTCAGTTGGTTGGGCGTCCGACTTCGGCTCAGGTCATGACCTCGCGGTCCTGGGTTCGAGCCCCACATCGGGCTCTGTGCTGACAGCTCAGAGCCTGGAGCTTGCTTTGCATTACTGTGGCTCCCTCTCACTCTGTCCTTCCCCCACTCACTCTCTGTCTCTCTCTGTCTCTCAAAAATTAATACATGTTTAAAAAATTAAACAAAAAAAAAGAAAATTGGGCATCTCTCTTTAAAGAAGGTAATTGTCATAGGTTCAGTTAGGCCTGGGAGGCAGAAAAGGAAGTGAAACAAAATAGGGGGCTGATATTTAGTATGTTCAAGTTGGGGGAAAATAAGATACTTTCAATAGAACTGAGTTCTCTTGTCATTGCCAGAAAGTGTCTCTGAGAAAATAAACATATACACTCCCTTCCAAAAAAAAAAAAAAAAAAGTGAGAACAGGATTTTTCCCCCCTCTTAATTTGCTGTTTGTTTCTAAAAAAAATCCACCCCCACATAGGTCACTTGGAATTCATTTTGTCTACATCCTGGACTGCACGTAGGGAGACAAAAAAAAACCGCCTGGGATTGGAGAGGAGGAATGTGGCAGGGCATGGGAATCGCAGTGTCCTGGTGGTCACCGAGCATATTTTGGCTTGTCTTAAAACAAGCAAGCACCGTTGGACCTTTGGAATCCTAACAAGTGAGTCCCGCTATCACCCTACCTATCAGAGGCTGGCTGCCTGAGAAAAAGCGTGTGGGTTTGAGGCTGCAGCCGGAGGCGCTGGCTGGCTCTGTGTCAGCCCCTGCCTGATTTCTGACTTCCAGTACTGTTCCGCGACCTCTGCCCCTATCCGGTGTCCTGTTACAGTTCATTTCAATAATTAAACAGTTCGGGGATGGCAAGACTTGTGTGTTGTCAAGAGAAAATCAGGGCGATGGCTTTTTCTCAATACTGGAATCAGGAGTGCTTGGGTTTAATTATATTAGCCAGTGCCTGTTCATTAATTTTCCCAATCATAGGGAGGCATGCTTGCCGGGCGAGATTGGCAATGGGTTAAAGCGGTTATTAAGGCAGGGCATTTCAAAGGAAAGGGATCCGAACTCTGACAAAATCAGATGTCTGAAATTTCAATCAAGTGCCCTGGGTTCCAGTGGCAGCTTTACTCCTTGAAAGAAGACAGCTTCTCTCCCATCTGGAATCCCAAATCGCTCGGGGAGCGGGACTAAGCCATTGGATGCCAGCTCCAAATATGCCGATTTCTCAGTGCCAGAAAAATAAACTGCTCCCTTCAAACTCCAAGTAATTGGTTGATGCACCACTTCTGAAAAGTCTCTTACATCTTCACTGTTGCTCAGTGAAGCTTTTCCACCTCCCCACTTCAAGGAAAAAGAAAGGGGGGGGGGCAATATAATGTACTTAGTGAAACCAGCAAATTTGCCATTTTTGCTACTTTAGCTAAAGTAGCAAAAATGTTAATACTTCAACTTTTCGTTAGGGATGTCTTGGAAATTTTGCTTATTTTTTCCCCCTTTGGAGAGTTTAATGTGTACCTTAATGCCCCCTTTCATTATTGGCCTGGCCCTCTTCCCAGCTCTTCCCTGCTGACTCCGGACCTATCCTGGTTATTTTGTGGTGATGGCTGGCTCTTGGTCATTCAGACATGTTTGTGGCTTATAAGTGTATCAAATTAGATGCCTCAGTCTCCTAGGTCTCCTCCCCATACCCTGACAAAAGTGGTCTTGCTCACAAATTTCACTGGCCTCCCTAAACTATTTTTTTATCATCTATCTCTTTTGTGAGCCTAAGAAATGTCTAAGCGCTTATCTCTACTCATAATGAAAATGACCAAATCGTAATAGCTCAAAGGTGTCCTACCCACCCTTTTCATCCATGAGGATACAGCTTGACAATGAATAACCTTGATGTTTAAGCTAGCAAGCAGTCATGTTCATGATACTGTGGCAGCAGGGAATGAAGCAATGACTATAATAACCATACATTCTTCCCAATTTTAGGTGAAGAAATATTATTTCCTTCCTGACTCGCTGAAAATTCAAGTAGAGAAGACCGTGAAGAATCTGGGCAATATTTCTCATATTTAGTTCTGTAAGATTTTATTTAGTTGTGCTCTGACCCTGGGTACTCTTGAGAGCTAAGAGATATAGAAAATGTCTTTTGGAGTTTGAGAACCGGGGTTCAAAATCCTAATCCTGTCTCCTTTTATCCATAGGATTTGGGCAAGTTACTTAAGGTCTATCACCATTTTCTTATCTGTAAAATGGACTTAATAATAGTATCTACCTGAAAGCATTATTGGAAGGAGTAAATGAATACTTCATCTGTAGAACAGTGTCCGTCACAAGATAAGAAATTTCATTCTTATTATAGCCCCATCAGTTGATATGTATTACAGCATCTAGGACTCTGATATGTAAATTTTACTTAGACACTTTTATTCCTTTGTATGTTTTTAAGAGTAATGCCTTGAGACACTTTTCATCTCTGTGTTCTTAATGTAACATCACAGTGTTTCACTCAAAGTTACTCCATAAACATTTGTTAAATGGATGGCTGGCTGGCTGGCTGGATGGATGGACGGACAGATGGAAGTAGAAATATACAGCATCAGGGTTGGTCCTAAGCAATCATTTTCAAATCAGGACGTGTATATCTGGGGGTATCTCCTTTCTGTCATCCCCTTCAACTGTTTAGATATTGTTGCCTTTCTAAGTTTGGACATGCTCCAAGCCTTGTTTTTCCTCCTCTTTCTTATCACATTTTTCTTCTCTTCAGTTCTTCTAAGTGACTATCTAGTTTGATCAGTAAGTAAAAGGGGCTTTATGTGTCATGTCTTCAAGATAGCTTGTATATTTTATCAGATAATTTTTTTCTCACTGCTTCATTCCACAGAAGTGACTAATATGGGGATTTCAAGAGAGCTATTACAAAAAAATTTTTTTTTTTTGTAGGAGGCTTTTGGACTTAAAAAAAAAAAAAAAAAACCTATAAAACATCTGCCTCCTTTACCTGGGGCTAAAGCTGACCCTGAGCAATACTTTGTTCCAATAATATGAACAGCTACATAAACTCATTTTGCATGAAAAGGTAGGGGGTAAATATCGAAAGAAGGAGGCCATCAGGAAGCCCCTGTGGCATATGCTGAGTTACAGTCCAGCAATAAGATTAACACATGCACTTCAGCCTCTCTCCCCACCCCCAAGGGAAGAGAAGCCTGAGTGTCAACATGAAATATTCAAGTCTCATATTTTCCAGGTGTACAAGCCAAATCTCGCAATGATGTTGGCGACCTCTTAGAGTTGCAAAATAATGGAGAAATTTTCAAGTGAATGATTCTCTGGATCTCTTAAGAATATTCTTTCTTTCTACATGTTCTTTCAAACTTGGTATTTCCACAGTGGTGGAAGGTCAAAGTGGAATTCAGACAAGTGTCACATATTTTGCTGAGGCAACAGGTACGTAATGAAGGCTTTTTAAAACTGCACATACAATGGATGAAACAAGAATTGAATAAAAACTCTGAAGTTTAATATTCACTCCGTTGAGGCATTTTCAGGCAGGTTGGGTATATGTCATTAGCCGTTTTCCAGATGCCTGGATAATGGCTCTTGGTTACTAAAAGAATATTAGAAGCCCTGTTGAAAGGGTCCTCAAACTACAGAGGAAGGTGATATGGGGTGGGGGAGAGGGTACTGCTGGCATCGCCTTTTCCCTGTAAGCAATCCCCACTCATTGTGGGCGCCCCAAAAGAAGTTTGTGAAAGCCTAGAGGAGAAGGGAAGGGTGACCGGGAAGGACTGAAAGGGAAGGGAAAACTATCATAGGGGGTGCAAAAGGAAAAGTCACAGAGGCAAGAAGAAACCTCCAAGAATTGAATTCTATAGATGCAAAGGAGGGAAATATTGATTGGTGGCAGATAGTACTTGAATAAAGATGGAACAGAGTGAGGATATATTATTTCCCTAGTATACTGTGGGCAGAGTGGACCATAGTCTGTTACACCATCAACCTTCTAATATGGGTATTTTTGGTCCCCACTTCATAACAATTGAGTTAGGGCTAACTGAGGTAAAGCCACACGTTTCACGTCAGTGTTAAGTAAATCAGTTCAGGGTTCCACGGCACACTGTCTGGTTCCATCGAATTTTTTTTTTTTTTTCTGTACCTTCTGCACTTTTTTCTGGAACTTCTGCCTCACAGTGAGGCCTTTGATTTGGCTCTAACCTGTTTCTTAGTTTCCCAGGTAAAGGTGCAGACTCCAGAGGGAGTAACATGGTATGGCCAAGAGAAAGCTGTCATGGGAGTGGTAGATCCCTTACTTCTATTACAAGCCTGGTTACTAAGTAGCTGTGTGATCTTAACCGCTAGTCTATGTTCCTTTCTTCCTCATCTGTGAAATGAGGGAGTGGGGATGCGGTGTTGTCTTAAGGTAGCTTTTGGCTTCAATATTCTGTGGTTCAATTGAGTTAAATGAAAGTGAACGTAACCAGATGAAGGCTGGGCTTCTAGAAGTAATGCATTCATGTACTCCCTAGCAAGTACGGGTTATTGGAGTCACTGGGAGAAATGCTTTAAATTTATATTCCATTTAGAATATCTCTTAGTAGATGTGAAAGAAATTACATGAGAATGTCGAACAAATATGAAGTTCAGAAGACAGATATTTCAAAACTTTTTGGAAAGAAATCGAAGAGAAGAAAGAAGGGAAGTCGGTAGGAGAAAGGTTGAATCAAAATATCCCCCCGCCCCCCCTTTGGGGAAACAGCTGCATTACTGATGTTCCTTTCCTCATACCAGAATTGTGCACTTATTTCAGAATATGGAAGCACTTGTAACATTTTCCCTCATTCTTACTAGTTCCAAAGTGGATTATATCCCTAGCTGGGTCATTCCATATTCTTTATTTTAAAACTTACTCTAAGTGTCTTAAATATTAACAATTAATCTAATCTCTGTATTTAATTCATAGACTTTTAAACTAAAATAATACAAATTATAATCACTCTGCCTAAATTAGACTTTAAATCTCTAATGCACTTTTAGATTTCTAAATTATTTTTTATATACTAAACTATTACATTCTTTCTGCAATGAGGTAGGTATGAACAAATAGATTTAATTGCAAATACATTATGAAATTTGATCTTCACACAATCTTATGAGGAAGATAAAGCAGAGTTTATCATTTTCATGAATGAATCGCAGGCAGGGAAAGATTACCTCTCTTGCTTCCATTTTTTCTTTTTTTTTTTTTTTTAATTTAGGAACCATATACCTTTAACGTTTATTTTTTGGGGGGACAGAGAGAGACAGAGCATGAACGGGGGAGGGGCAGAGAGAGAGGGAGACACAGAATCGGAAACAGGCTCCAGGCTCTGAGCCATCAGCCCAGAGCCCGACGCGAGGCTCGAACTCACGGACCGCAAGATCGTGACCTGAGCTGAAGTCGGATGCTTAACCGACTGCGCCACCCAGGCGCCCCAACCATATACCTTTAGAAAGGAATGGTAAACTTGGAAGAAAGAAAATTTTAAGTGAATGTTTTTCAAGGGCAATGTTGCGGTATGCATGCCCAGCATGGTGATGGGGGGGGTGGGGGGAGTCACCCTGTGGCTACGTGGAAGGTGGACAAGTTCTTCCTGCTGTGCACCATGCTGGGCTTGCCATCCTGCGCAGGGACCCCATCCAACTCAGCTTGGTGAGAGCTACATACTCTTTGAAGGACTTGATCTGCTTGTGGAGGGAGGGACCTTCGGGAGCTGCCACAGGTGGGAGTCGTTCCCATCAGTGGCCAGCTGTTGCTGATAAAGGAAGCTGGTCACTAGCTTCTCCAGCTGGAAGGCGCAAGCCAAAGCTTTCGTGGTGCTTCTCAGCGGGCAGTCCTGGAGCTTGGTTTCTGCGGAGGCTATGCGGCCACGCAGATACCGCGGCCACCTGGTCTTCTTCCTCCAGGAGTTCCCTCTCCTCCCTCTCCAACCGGGGCTGGTGAGGGAAGGACCCACAGAGCGCTTCAAAGGCCAAGTCGTCCTGGAAGTACAGGAAGGAGGCATAAAGCACCAGGTTGGTCTGGCTGTTGAAGGCGGCCTTGCTTGCGTCTTGGTGGGAGTGGGGTGAGGGTGGGGTAAATAATTAGTAGAAAAAGTTGTCTAGAACCTGGGTGTTCTAATTCCAGCTCGAGCACCACTCCCTTGATGATGGGCTGCTTGCTTTGTCCTCTAAGTAGTCTGCGGACATCACAAAACTGAAACCTCAACAATAGATAGAGATGTGGGGTGGAAGACGGGGAATAGAATTAAAACAATTAATCTGGGTGCTAATATGAACTTCACGATTTAGGAGCTATTTGGCTTTAGGGCAAACGTACTCAACCTCCCTGAACACTTAGAACAGTCTTTCTGAACTTTTTTCTTCACTTGTAAAATGATTACCCCAGTCTATTTCTAGGTCTTGCCTTGTCTATGCTTACAGAGAATATGTGTATATATGTATATATATATATATATTACATATGTATATGTATATATATTACACTTCTTTGATCCATGGTTCTCAAAGTGTGATCCTTAATTAGCAGCCATCATCATCATTTAGGAATTTGGTAGAAATATAGGTTCTAGGGTCCCTCCCCAGACCTCCTGAATCAGTAACTCTGGGGCTGAGGTTCAGTAATCTTCGATTTGACAGGTTCTCCAGGTGATTCTGACTCACACTAATCCTGAAGAACCAAAGCCTTAGTTTAAAGCACGATCTTAAAGCAAGTCCTGTCAAATCTATGAATATTCATTGAATGGCTATTAAATGTAAGATACTGTGCAGCTGAATGGAGAATTAAAGAATAAAGCAGATCTCATGATGTTTCTTTCTGATTTCCGACAGTCTTTAAACAGAAGTAGGGAAGGGCAAAAAAAAAAAAAAAACTGTGTCAATTAATGCAAACATTACGTTTGAAATCCAGCTCCTTTGGGTTAGAAATGGTTAGTAGTTCAATTCAGGATATAAGGATTTCCCTGTATGTAACATTTGAGCCTTACCTCCCATGCCCAAGAATAGGGTCTCGACAGGAGATGTCAAGATGTTTAATAAGTAGAGGATTTGGCTTTCCTATTCATATCACAGATCAGGAACATACCTCAAAACATCCAGTTTCTCTTAAAGAGAGCAGAAGGAGAGGGGACACTTTATTCCATCATAGGATTTCTCTTTGTTCTGCTCAGCTCCTCGAACAAGGAAAAACAGAAGGAAGGCTGGTGGAAAAGTTGGGGCTGTATACAAAGTAGGTCAGGAGGAAAGAAAGAAAAAAAAACAAGCCAGACCAAAACAAAACCTATTAGAATCCTCTCCCTTCCCTACCAGTCGCATTATTGCTGGGGAGGTTTTAGTAAGGTGAGGAAGAAGCTTTCACTCTGCTGAGCACATTCCCCAAATGCTTATTATCAGAAAGTGATTCAGGAATTGAGACTTCCAACTATTTTGAAGCCATAAAAATACTGGGGTCATTCCTTTGCAATTTATATTTATTTGGGTGTTTATTTTCTATTACATTTATAAATATGCTACTCCGACAATAGAATTTAAAGGGAAAGTGAAACAAGCAAAAATAATTGCTAGTATTTTATTCACACAACCATTGGTCTGCCTTGCTCACCTTAACAGGAAGTTACTAATTTAGTTACTATGGTGAAAAGGCATTAGAGGTTTTGGTGGGAAAGGATAGATGCATCTGTTTACTGGGTCCTCAAGCATCAGTGAGCCAGGTAAACATGTAAAGACTGCAGTTTTGATGGTTATCATGTATTTAAATATACGCTATCCTCTATGGACCAATGTAAGATCTGTTCTTCCCCCATCCTGGTACTTTCTAGATGTACTAGAAGCCACTTCTAGTGGTAGAGTGGTCACTATGGCATGTAAGGAGAGGAACATCCAAACTTCTTTGGCTGACACAATACCCCTGCTTTATGTTTCACAGGCTCACAGTTCCATAGACGAAACCAAATTAGCAATGTGTTGTGGGTATTTTGGGAAGGTGGGGAGTTAAGGGGAAAGGACTTTGAGGGACCCAAGCTAGATTTAAAGGTATGGCTTTCAGGGAGCGCCTGGGTAGAACAGTCAGTTGAACGTCTGACTTCAGCTCAGGTTATGATCTCATGGTTCATGAGTTCGAGCCCCACATCCAGCTCTGTGCTGACAGCTCAGAGCCTGGAGCCTGCTTTGGATTCTGTGTCTCCCTCTCTCTCTGCCTCTCCCCTGCCCAGTCTCTCTGTGTTTCTCAAAAATGAATAAATGCTAAAAATTAAAAAGAAAAATAAAGGTATAGCTTTCAGTAGCAATATAATGAGTAAGAATTCAGGAAACATGAAAAATTAGAGGCAGAAATGACTCACCATTTGAAAGAAAAACTTGGATAGGTTTTGGGGTTAATTTCTGTTTCTCCTAAATGAGATTTTCATCTTGTGTGCGTGTCTGTGTGTGTTCAG